GTAAAGATTTATGATCATTGCTGTAGGAAAAAAGTGATTTTTTTGTGATTATGTGCTTTGATAGAAGCAGGTAATTTTGGGGTTATTCTTCTTGAGTATGCCGAATCCCCCATACTACTTGCTCCTCTCTATGGGAGAATGGAGCTTTCGAGCAGCGTTCATGCTGCGCGATTCGAGCGATTCCGCCGCGCGCACGCTTTACCGATCGATAATCGTTGCATAGTATTTTGAGAAAATATTTTTCATTATTTAGCTCCCTCGAAACAAGGAAAAGAAGCGAAGTCAACAACCGAAAACATTTTTCTCAGATGCAAAAGACAACCCGTGCTCCCTCCTCTCCGCTGGAGATTCCCATGGTCCATGATTGCCATGGATTTCCCATTAGCAACACTCTGGCATGGTGGACGCACTGACATTTCCACATGCCTATGGCCGTGTCCGCCTTGGTGTAATCAGCAGAAAGATAAAACTATATTTATCCAAGGCTGTTTAGGAGAGATAAGCAGGAGAGATAAACCCAGTTATCAACATGTAAACAGCTCAAACGAAGGTTCAGAAGGAGATTCCGGATAGGAAATCATGAATTAATCCTTCATAGCTTTACGATGAAGGATTAATTACCTGCACCTGTCGTGCAGTTCAAGTAATCATATTCAGTCCCACGTGAGCCTCATCAGGGATTCATGACTATAAAAGTTCTCTCTCGTTCAAAGAATTCTCCCGTCATTTATAGGGCTCTCTAAAGGTCTGCCTTTTCCATACTTACCTAGGCAAGAAAAAACAACAGAATTTTGATGAATACCTGAATTGAACAGATCCCATTCCCTTTTATGCTATTTCATGAATGACCATCGTTTGTGTGATAGTTAGATGGGATTACATTATACGAATCCCACATAAAACTGTTGACTTAGTATTCAATCGCTACGGTAAAAGGCATTCGGAAGACTGCCTTCAATTTAAAAGAGACGTGGGAGTGTGAACTCGTGATCGCAAACTTCGGTCCATTTGATAATTTTTGACATAGAACCTATGCAGAAACATATTTGGCTCGACCTTTAGTGAGCTGTACA